GACATCATTGTTGCTGGAAGTGATCTTCAAGGCATTAAACATCTTAAGACCAAATTGAAATTAAACTTTGAGATGAAGGATCTTGGAGAATTGAAAATATTTATTGGGTATTGAAATTCATTGAACAGAAAAATGCATTGTTCTCACCCAACATAGGTATATTCTTGATTTACTCTTTAAAACAAGGATGTTGGGATGCACGCCTATTTCCACTCCAGCTGAAGTAAATAAGAAGTTAAGGACTGAAGAAGGGGTATTGTTATCTAATCCCTCCTTGTATATAAGTGTCGTTGGTAGTCTTCAATATCTCACATTCACTCGTCCTGATATTGCTTATGCAGTGAATACAGTATGTCAGTTCATGCAGGCACCCCAACAACCTCATTGGGAAGTCACACAAAGGATTTTGAGGTATTTAAAAGGTTTTATACATGATGACTTATTCTATACTTCCTCTAGTTTGCTTGATCGTAGAGCAAACTCTAATGTTGATTGGGCAGGGTGCCCTAATGATTGTAGGTTCATTACAAGATTTTGTATCTTGTTGCAATAGAAATCAGTTGGCTACGAATGCTTCTTAAGGAAATTAGTGTTTCCACAATAAAGCCCACCATTCTAGAATGTAATAATCAAAGTGTTATGCGGCTAGCCACAAATCCTATCTTTCATGCTCGCACAAAACACATAGAAGTTGATTATCACTTCATTCGAGAAAAGGTGTATGTGGTGCTATTTTCATGCCCTTTGTTCATTTGTCCAACCAGCTAGTAGATATGTTTACTAAAGCTTTGTCAAGACCAAGACACCGTGAGCCCACAGACAAGCTCTCAATGCACAAGGTGCTTGCTTGGCTTGTTGGGGGGTGTTAAGAGAGAGACTCTCTTTAGTTATATTGTATAGGATATTCTTTTGTTCTTTATTCTCAAGGGTAATTATGTCAATTATATATATATATATATATATATGTGTGTGTGTGTGTGTGTGTGTGTGTGTGTGTATGTGTGTGTGGAAAACTCTTTCCAACGCCTAAAGGTAAAAATGAACAATGATTGCACCTACCCTCTTCACCATCCAAACTTCATCGCACGGTCATAGTTGTCTGGTAGTGTTTCATTTTTTTCATTTTTTTTCTACAAATCCCTTTTACTTTAAATTTGGAGCATGTGTACATCTTAGTGAAGCACACCTAATAAAAATATAAAAAAAAGAATTCGTAAAATATAAATTGACTAAAATACCCCCAAAAATTTACAGGGGTATTTTGCTCAATTTATATTTTACGAATTATTTTTTTCATATTTTATTAGGTGCGCCTCAATAAGATGTACACGTTCCAAATTTCAGATCATTCCAATTAGTAAACAAAAAATGAAAATTGAAACACTATCGGACAACTGTGATGGTACGATGAAGTTTGGATGGTGATGAGGGTAGGCGAAATCATTGTTAATTTTCGTCTATAGACGTTTTGTAATATATATATGGAAGATGCTAATGTGTAAACCGTGATTTTGTATTGAAGGAAATACACATAGGTGTTATCCCCATTTTCTCTCTCTAGGGTCTCATAAGTTTAACAGTCTCTATCTCACTTATCTTAGCACTCTTCCTAACGATCTTTCCTTCTACCTCTCTCTCTTGTACCTAGTTTTATTACTCTCGTTGCATGTTATCTATTAGTATTAATTTTCTTACCTTTCTCTCATTTTGGTTCTCTTTCTTGTTGTACTATTATCTTTGTTCGCATCTTATACTTATATCTCTTTATCTCGTTGATGAGGACCTCATCTATTTCCTTATTTTTAATGATGCTCATATCTCTACCATCTTCTCTCTCGCTTTCATCTTATGCGATGCATGCTTAGTGTAGACGGTAATTTAGATTAAGTAATCTCCATGTGTTTTACTTTCTTGTTCTTCTTGCATTTTATAGTTAGATTATTTATTCCTTTTTTTTTTTTTTCTCTAGCATAGTTGTTTATTTGTAGTTCTGCTCCTTTGTTCTCTTTCTATTTTCCTAAAATCTTATTTTTTATCTCAAACCCATTTTGAAAGTTTTCTTTGTTGAGTTCTAATGTTAAGATAGTAGGGAAGCTGGCTTTGTGGGTGATCAGAGAGGGATAAGGTCATAGGACCCGATTCTCCCTCGGAATGTAATTTGACAGGACTCATACTTTATTAACTCATCAATTTGTTTGCACCTGAAACCAATGCGGGAACGAAATACTTTGCCCACAATTCCAAGTATAAACAAGAGGGGAAAACACTATTGAATGAGAGTTAGTGAGATTTTTTTATTTAGAGGAGAAAGCATTTTTGGGATGAGAGTCGGTGGGATTTGTTGACTCAGAGTGAAAATCACTCTTGGGATGGGAGTTAATGAGATTTGTTGACTTAAGGGATTTGTATGACTTATGGGTTTATAGAACACGAGAATTAAAAATAAATAGACTGTTTATGGGGCATATATTGAAGAGATAGACTTATATTAATAGAACTTGGTAAGTTTTTTGTAGAGAGAGTTTATTTTTATAAAAGAAGAAAAAAGTTAATCTCATCCTTGACTCGATTCACAACCTTATTTTCTCCATTATTGCTGAGTTTTTGTTTGTTTAAGATAAAAAAAAGACTGGATTTAATTTTCCAAGCTCATTTTCCATCAATCTTACTATAATTATCATGTAAAAAGAGCTCACTATCTAGCCACTCACTCTCATTTTATTGCCTCACTCACACACTCTATTTCACCACATGACCACTATAGAACCAATCCACCATTGAATCATATCTCTCTCTCTCTCTCTCATATTTCTCTCTCCCTCTCAAAATTTCTTAAACATAAACTTCGACCATATTTAGCAGCCCGGCCCTAAAAAGCCTAGGGCCTAGACCAAAAAATGTAGCTTGCGGCCTAGGATGGGACCAGGGCCATGAGAGGGCCAGTCCAGCCTTGCACTTTTTTTTGTTATTATTCTCTGTCGTTTTCTTCTTTAATTGATGTTGGTCCAATTGAGGCTAAGTTTGGGTTAGGATATCTTTTGCCCCACCCAGGTTGGCCCTATAGGGTCTAGGATCAGCCAATTGCCAGCCCTAAACTCTCCCAAGCATCTCTCTTCTTTTCTCTCTTACACTCAAACATACGAAATTGATTACATGTGTTTTGTAAACTTGTTCACCTAAAAAGAAAAAAAAACACATGTTTGAGAAACTCATTCCAGTAAAGATTTAACAAAGCTTTTGAGGAGCTACCTAAATGAAATATTTTTCTAAAAGACACAACTTTATTGATAAAAATGTTGATCTTCCGCATCATTCATTTGTTGAGGTGGTTTAACCATTTTAATGATATTTTCTAAAAAGCAAAACAAACAAACAAAGAGAATAAAAACCCATGATGATTATTTCTGCAATGAAAAAGAGTAATTTTTCCACTGACACAAGTATCAGATCCCTTCCCCCCTAGTATCATGCATGTGGGCTACCTGGGCCATCTAAAAACCTTAGAGATTAAGCATTTTGCAAAGGACCTCTAAGTACTAAATGGACTTGAGATAGGCCAGTTCTTTAGATTGACACACCGATAAGTGAGTCTTTAACTTCAGCCTTGACCAACCATGGGCAGGAGGAAAGACTAATGCAGTGTGGTAAGTGGGCTATTGGCAAAGACCGTTGGAGCTAGACGATGAGCATGAAGGTGTGACCATGTTGTGTCTGTGGGACGAGGTGGACCACCATGATTAGCATGCTAAGATTTGGTTGGCCGGGCCATGGGCAGTCTAACTTTATGAGACTTAGGTTTGGACCATGTGTAAGGGACGGTTGACTAAACACCTAGCTGGGCAAGTGTATTGACGTCAACCTAATGGTCAAGTGGAAGAAGTCAAAGTTTGAAATATGTAACTGCCCCATCCTTAGGCATTATCTCATGCATGGGCTTGTGTAAACGCTACCTACCATATTAAAGAGGTTAAATTTATATGTAGTGAGCTGAATAGGCATAAAAAAACGTTGTAATCATGAATATATAAATTAGTGTGCATACTCAATAATGACGGGCGGCAGATTGGGTTGACCAGTATTTAGTACTTTCCTCCCCTTAAAGAGCCATTTGGTAGTTATTAACTGTGGGGGTTGGGCTGGTATAACCACTCCCACCAGGTGGTGAGTAGTAATGAGGTGCATGCTTTAATAGCAAATATGGTTAAGGGTGACTGTGTAGGTGTAAAGTCGGGTATATATGAACCCCTTGCCCTGACCCTTGAAGGGCATATGTGGCTGAATACAAGTACATTGAGCCAAAAGAGTGGGCTATGGCTTTTGTGCAAAACTTGTTCAAGGGCATATGTGGCTGAATACAAGTATATTGAGCCAAAAGAGTGGGCTATGGCTCTCTGTGCAGAACTTGTTCACGTCTTGTGTGCTTGTTTGCTCACTTCCTACTCTATAGGTTTGTAGAAGACTAGTTTTACCTTAGTCTGAGTTTAACTTCGGCTGAGTGTTGAAAAGATCAATCACGATGACAAAAAATATGAGAATATAATGGCCTGGGGGCATTCATGTACACATACATGGAAAGATTTGGCATTTCTTCTAGTAATTGGGTTTTTTTTGGTAAAAGATACTAATGGACTTTGACATTTTAAACCAGTATTTTAAAATCGCAGAGCTGGCTCTGAACCACCCTAGCCAGCTCCGAAGCCACTGGTTTTGCCAAGTTCCCCTATATTCTCATTTTTTATAATTTGAAAAAACAAAAACGAAAAAACTGAAAACTAATGAGGTGACTTGGGAGTTTTTAGCTGACTTGAAACCGTTGAGTGAACAATTAAACCCGCCGACCCCATTTCTCAAACATAATTAAACTGTTGGATCGAAACCAATCAAATCTGTGCTATCGAAAATGAAACCAATCAAGGTGAAGCACAACGATAACTCAAATTTTGAAGCCATTCATTGAGAATGTGGTATGCAATTGTAATACAATAATGGACCAGCAATGCTTAAGAGAATTCTAATCAAAATTCATCTGATACTGAAAACCAAATGCACCTCAAGTAACAAAAATGAAAGGATCAGAAGAAAGTCTCTTGCCTAATGCTTCCATTTAAACTAGAGAGAGAGAGAGAGAGAGAGAGAGAGAGAGATGGTGAAATGAGTATGTGATGTGCTTAGCATGGGGGCAGGTCAATTGGTGGAGGCTCCAAACTCTCCAATTCAGATATTCCATTCTCGACCAGGAAGACCATGGCCAAGCCCCAGTTGATATGCACATCGAAATGGCAGTGCATCAGCCATACTCCTGAAAAGTACAAATTTATAAATCCATATTAATAACTCATTACAAAGCAAAAATTTAAGCAAAGAAAGAAGATTCTTTTAGAACTTTGTATGACATGTGAATGCCACCCAGTGTTTCCTATTCCACCGGATTTTCCATTGTAGTGTACGTGTGAGGGAGGTCTTGCCTAAAATTACTTTTAGTATTATGAGGACTGGATCCAATTAGCTTGTCTGGATAATTCTATTATAGATCGGTGCTTTGATCAGTCTGGTCCAGAAATACAACTTGAATTTGATAAAAAACTAGTCAAAACTAATAATTGACCTGTGTTGGCAAAAGAGCTCTTGTAGATCTTGACTTGTTGGACAAGCAAATCAACGTTAAGTAACTTGTTTCTAATATATTTCATATTTTAAATATATTATTTTTACTTTTTCTTTTTTTGTTAATTAAAACTAACCCAACTATTTATCCACCAGGAGGACCAATCTTTTGTGGACCAAACCGCTTATCGATTTTTGCATTTTGCAAGACAGACCTCTTCATCCCTTAACTCAAAATGACCTTCAATACTTCCATTCCCTTTAAAGGAAATGCTAATACCCCTTCCACCTACGCCATTACACACACTCCTAGAAAATGTTATATTCCCAGGTAAGAGAACATCTATAGGATTGGGTTTCTATGTGTCAGTCAACTCATATATGCACATGTGTCTCGCCTTTAAAAATTCATCTTAAAGATGGATCTTTGATTCAAAATTTTAGGGATTCAAGATCTAAGCCAAGGTGAAAACAAATATGAGAGAAAAAAAATAAAAGTTATATTTTTTTTTGGGATGTTTTTGCACCGTCGACATGTTATTTATGTCCAATGCACTTTACACAACATCCATCTTTAAGATGGACCTTTGTGGGTCAGCGGGCTCGTGCACCCGCTGATTCACATAAAACTTTTCTAAATTTTGATAAGTTAGAATTATTAATGTCTTCCTTTCCCATCCTCCTTTAATCTCTATTAAAAGGTCAATCAGACCCCTTATTTTCATTAACTACGACCATCCATGTACCAGTAGCTACATGATGCTAGACTATAAAGCCACATGGATTACCACCAACCGAAAAGAGGAAAAAAAAAGAAAAATTACCTGGATTATCTGCTACAAATCGGATAACTGCCCATCCATTAATAGGAACACCCATAGTGTTCCTCAATGGTGGATCCACTAAGTTGAAGTTGCTAGTGTCCCTTGAAGGATTGAAGTTCCCGAATCCTTCAGCGAGAACATAGAAATCGTGGCCATGGAGATGCATGGGGTGGTTCTCACCATTAACTATATTGGTCCCTTGCAGCACCACTTGCACTACTGACCCAAACTTCATTTGCTTCACCCTGGTGCCCCGCACCGGTTGCCAGAGTGCGCGGCTCACGTTCTGCGCTGTGTAGTCGAACTGCACTGGTGGCACTCGTGGGAAATCACGCGTAAAGACCCCGTTTACCCCGTATGTGTGTGCCTGTCACATAGAGTTCCATGTTATTGCTACTACTGGTCGTATTTGCTGTGATGCTAATATTCATAATACTACTGAAATGCTGTCAAAAATGAAACTACTCAGACAATAACACAACTTCTTGCAGCATTGCTGTTACATGATCAGACCAAGATGCGACTGGTTGAGTCCAGGGGATCCCGAAAAGATCAGGGCAAATGGAATTTGTGTCCCTCAATTCCGACCTCATTTATAGTTTTAGAAAAAATAGCCATTTTATCACCTAAATTTTGTAAACTTTTCATTTTTTATTCTACTTGTTTCTTAATCCCCATCTTTTAAATTCTTCTCAATTTATTTTATTTTATTTATTAGTGACAAAACAAAGAAAAACAGGGGAGATTTCAAGATTCATCTTGAAGATCATGGGGACAGCACCAAACCTGCAAAATGGACAAGCTTTGTGGAAGAGCGAATGAGATGTTGTTCACGCTGGCAGCAAATCGTGTGTTGTTTGGCCCTCCACACATTTGCCCCGTACGGCAGTTAAACAATCCCAACCCCACAGTGAAGAACAAATTCTCGTCCACACTTTGCGGCACACGAGCTGGGAACTCCCTGGAGTTCAAGCTCCGGAGGCTTGTTGTGAACCTAGTCGCAGTATTTGTATCATTATAGAAAGGCAAGGATGGCATTATAGGCTGCGGGGCCGAAGTGCCGGGTGCAGGGCAAGGTAAGCCCTGATACTGGAGGATTGCTGTTGTGGTGGTGTTATCAAAGGCAACATTTATGTTACTAGCATAGGCCCGGGCCGCGATGTAGTATCGGCCGGGGGCTTGGTCAGCTGTCACGAGAAGGTCTGTGGTTTGGCCAGGGGCGATCATCAAGACATCGGTGGTGTAGGGCTTCGTGTATGAGGCATCGACAGCGACCACTGTAAACTTGTGATTGGCTATTTTGAAGAAGAGCTCGGCATTGAGTGCAGCGTTGATGATCCTGAAGAGGTTGGTCTCGCCAGAGGCCACTGGAATGACCACAGTGTCTGCGAGGACAACAAGCACATGTGATTTCACAGAATTAGGCTTAATCGTGTCATTTGCCCATGCTTAGAGGAGTTGAGGTTAATTTTTATCACTTGGTTCAAGACAATTACTGAGTACCTTTGCTAGAGCAGTTGTACAAGTCTCCGGGCTGGCCGTTGATGGTGTAAGCATCCGAGATATTAGGCGCCGCTCCGGTCCGAGTTGCTTGGTTCACAACATCTATTGGGTTCCTATTCCACCACTCCCCTGACAAATAAACACAAATCAAATGCTTAATTAACAGAGAAAAAGATCAATGAATCAAAGATTTAGGGAAAAAAAGTTCATAAGAGGCACAGAAGAGAGAGATTTTACCTAAAATGATGGGGGCTTCTCTTTTGGGCTTAGTAAATGGGTAAGAAGCACCAGGTTTAGGGTGAATAATGAGGGCTCCATACACAGTGGCCCGTAGCCATGAGCTGTGTGCGTGCCACCATAATGTGCCTTCTTGATTCTCAATGGTGAACCTGTAAGTGTAGCTCCCACCAGGTCGAATTGGACATTGCGTGACAAACTCAGGTCCATCTGCCCACCCTGTTCGAATTTGTCTGATCCCATGCCTAAGACATACCAAAAGAATGAGAAAAATAAAACCACATTCATATGCTATCACCCTCAAACTGTCTTGCATGAGATTCTCTCAAAAAATTTTAAATTTCATAAGAATCCCATGGAATTAAGGTTTCAATAGTTATGATCAGTGTAAAAGCAAAGACTCGGGGACGGGACTCAGCCCCTGCCTGAGCCAAGTACCTCGGGCTGAGTCTGAGTCACTCGGCCCTAGTCAGGCCAGGTCCTGGCCAAGCCAAAAAGTGTGATAAAAAACAATTCCAAAAAATTTGAAAAATATGTTTAAAGTGAGATTAAACAGAACACATAGTTAAAACAGTAGCAAAAAAATGGTTTTTGAAAAAGTCAATTTCTGATGTGTGTATTTTAGAAATAATCCAAAAAAATATTAAATAAGTATTCTGGGGTGTGTCCGATTTGGCTTGCCCGAGTAATTATACTCTGGTTATTATGATATCTCTCTCTATCTCTTGCTTACCAATGGAGGGTGACATTGTATCTTGCCCTGTTGACAGCATTAATAATGAGGGTGTCACCGTTATTGACTTCAAGGGTTGGGCCTGGTAATTGACCGTTCACCGTTATTACATTGATGGTTTTGCATAATCTAGTCACCCTTGTGGACTGTATCTGCTCATATCATTGCTCGAGTGGTTAGAAGTTTCCCTTTTCCTTTCTTTCTTGCATTAGTGGTTGAGCAAATAATAATTAGCAGTCAGTAGAGAGCACGAACTACATGTAGTGGGCTAGCAATGATTCTTCTTTAATAATTACATAGAAAAGAGGTCTTGGAGTTATCAGGGTATTTTGGTTTTCTTTGAGGGGCTGGGACCTTTATTCTTTGATGGAGGAACTTTCAAGTAATGGTTCCTTTGACTATGATGTGGCACATGTGGTTTGCCAATAAAAAAGAGGCGCCATGAGGCACATGAAACCTAATGCAATAAAGCAAAAACAAAAACTTGTATCCTTGTGTGTGAATGAGAGAGAGAGTGAGAGTGAGAGAGGGTACTAGGTATGATTCTTGTCCCAAAGAGAGAGAGACAGAGAGAGTACTAACAAAAAATAAGTAGAATATTTCATGTATAGATGTCACAAGAAAGAAGGAAATAAAGCAATAAAATCAAATTATACCTGTTTTATATTAGAGAGAGATGGGTAGGAAGAGAATCTTATACCTATGTCTGTGGGAAAGAATGGAAATAAAGCGAATAAGCAAATTATTTTGTGATTTTATGTCAATTACAGAGGAGATAGAGTTGTTTGTGTTTGTGTGTGTTGTGTGTGTGTGTGAGAGAGAGAGAGAGGGTGAGTGATGGAGTAAGGAATGGCTTCTAGGCCAGGGTGCCGTATTGTGACATATAGAGATCCATTCGTACCAAAATCACAAGTTAAAAATTCATAGAAAAAAAAGCAGAAAATGTGAGAGTATTGTGCACTAAGAGTGGCTGAACTAATGAGCTTGCTTTGAGCTTTAGAACATCCTAGTAGGCTTGTGATGTGCAACTGTTATAGGTCACTATTTACTTGTTTGAGCTGCTACTTACAATGAAGTTGTGGGTCTGAACCTCTCCAACTGAATAGACAGTCATGCAACAAAGCAACACAATGGTCACCAGCTCCACTACCAACAGTAAACTTTGATGTCCCCATGAAGAGAAACCACGGTTGCTAGTACCTCTAAACCAGGCCATCACCTTTGGTTGTTCTCTTGGATTAATACACTAAGAGTTCAAAAACTCTTTGTGATGCAACCAAGTGAGAGGACTCCTCATTATATAGAAATCTTGGGCAATGGGTTGTTTGAAAGTTAGGAGGATTAGGTTTTGATTTATGTTATTTACTTGAAACTTGGGTTTCACCATGAATGGTTCAACCCCTTCATTGCCCAGTATAGGTAGTTGTATCAACTAGGCCTATCAATTCCTCATGGTTTGTTCCCTAAGTCTTTTACTTGTGGTGGCCCACTTTTGGTTTGGCGCTTCTTTCTTTTTTTCTTTTTCCAAGTGCCAATTTTCTATTTCATATGGTGCTTTTTTTTTTTCTTTTTTTATTTATTCAAGTGCCAACTTTCTATTTCATATGAATCCTATAATTAAGGTTTCATTTCATTCCCAACATTCAATTTTCAATTGGAATTCCCAATATCATGTTTTATTTTTAATCCTCATGTTTCAATCTTTTAATTAATTGGGAATTCCTATGCTCATTGTTCTTGTTTGTGACCTAGCTTTCATTTGCATTGAGATTTATAGGTTTCTTTGTGCCAACCTTAGGAATTTTTTTGGACGTCCTAATAAGTTAAGCAAAGACCCTCTGTATATTTTAATGTTCATCCTCCTTGTGTATTTCTTGTTGCCCAAAAGAAAATTTGTTACTTTGACCACTTCTCTTTACATTTTCTTTTTTTTTTTGAACTTTAACCACTTCTCTTTGCTTGGTCAGTTTTACTATGTCAGTTTAAAATATTTTTCATTTACATTTAACCCCAATTAAAATATTCAGACAAGGGTAAATATGATATTCAATGAACAATAATTTTCTCTTATTTTTATTAAATATCATTATAAGTTAGATGGTGTGTCGATTACTGGGCCATCGATTGAGAATAAAAGTACGAAAACTACATGCCATAACAAACTGCTAGCGACCATATATTTCACATCATGCAGATATTTAGTTTTATTTGGTTTTAGTCTAAGTTGTCAGTATGTGAAGAATAGGTTGATTAGTACTGGTTGCTGATAATTAATCCCTAATTAGAACCAGACCCTTTTCTTTCTTTTTTTACTTATTTTTTTTCTATGCTGACCCCACCAATTTCAGTATGATGGATTTCTCCCAATAAGATTATAAACCATTAAAAGAAGGAAATGGAAATTTCTTAATTCACAGGGCATCAATTAAAAGTATGTTTGGTATTCCTGATTAGGTTAACTGCTTTCTTTGTTAGCAAAATCAAAACAAGGAGCCCATTAGTCACACGCAACCATTTGTATTCATAAAAATAATTCAACCAGGCATGAGGTGGTATTCATAAAACATGTATCACTAATGGGTTAAGTTGATATATGATAATATATTTAGCTGTAATTTCCTTGGCTTTGGTGAATTGAATTCTTTTAAGAATAGAAGTAATATTTTACAAAGATACATTTACCGAAAAACTTCAATTTTTTTTTTTTGGGGGGAATTAAAAGTAGTTTTTTGTGTTTCATATTTACACACAAGTCCCATTTTTAGAGGATATAGTATATTTTAATTTTATATTTATACATTGCCTTAAGTTCAAATTTTGGGTGTCATATTTGTCACCATCACGTACTTGTAAAATAAAAATATAAATTTTAATAATATAAATTATTAACAATTTTATTTTCTTCAAATGGCTTTTTTGTACTTTTACAAGTGCGCGATGGTGAGAAAAATAAAATAAAAATACATTATGTACTCTAAAAAATGGGACTTGGGTGTAAAATATGAAATATATAGAATTATTTTTAGATGTCATGAATAAAATGAGTTTTTTTCTATAAACACTCCATTATAAATAGGGATTGTATACCGTAAAATAATTTATTTTTGGTGTAAAGAGGTCACAATCACTTTTAGCTATTGGATGTAAAATCTAATAGATAAAAGTGTGGAACAACATTCAAAAGATTTTATTTTAGACTTTGTGCCCAAACAATGACACATTCTCAACCACCTGATTACAAATGGTCAATGATGATTATGACCATTCTCATTGTATACATTTTCTTATAAATATTATTTGTTTGCACCTCTTACAAAATTTTCTAACCATGAAATGTCATGCATGATGTTTTGGTTGGAAATACTGAATTATTAGGGCAGGATTCTTTCTAATCATGAAATGTCATGCATGATGTTTTGGTTGGAAATACTGAATTATTAGGGCAGGATTCTTAAAATTTTGTTATAACTTCAGTGTCAAGGAAGGTGGGACCTCCTTCAATTTAATATCTCAAAGAAACTATCACTATACCAATAGTAATATTTAAGGCAAAGGTCAAACTATAGATGCTTACTCAAAGTGAGAAATTTAAGTCAAGCGAGGGACAAAAATTAATCATTTTAGTGATGAAAACTTTCTCAGTGCTGATGGGCAAGGATTGGATTTTTTATTAGGGTTGTTAAGAAGTCATGTACTCCATATTGCCTCGTCCATATAAGAATGTGTTAATCACTATTAAAATATAAATCACCATTTAATTTATATATAATACTTTGTCAATTACTAGATCAATTTTCTGTTTTTTTTTTGAGGTAAAACAATGAAGAGATCATTGAATAGCCAATTTTACTTATATTTTGATTGTCAACTTTTACTTTTCAATGAGTATTTAGGAGTGAATCAGCAACTTATTGTAAGGTAACTTAAGTAATGATCTATGGAGATTACACATACTTTGGGTCATATAATCTGTCATTTTTAGGTTTAAAGTACTAAACTTTTGACTTCTCGAACGTTTCTTGTTGTTATCTTCTACATTATTCTGTGTGTTTTAGGTTAGTGGCAGTTGGTTAAAGGAGTTGAGGTGTCTTCAACTTATTGCTTCTTGTAGGGAGGAACAAGTATGGGATTTTCAACTATTGATACCTGAATTCCATAGGATTGGATTGGAACAAGATTAGTTGGTACTTGCTGCAACGTGCAATACCCGCTCTCTCTCTTTCAACTTGTTGGTAGCAAAAAGTCATCCATTTCTCTCTCAAGATTTGTTACTATTCTTTAGGTATTGTTCGTAGTAGAAATCAGTGTTGTCAAGATTGGACCGGACATTGGTGGTCACTAACAAACATCGAATTTAGTTGTGAATGGGCAAAAACTGATTTTTAACCAGTGTAGGAAAAATCGAATTGACAGTCAATTGGACATGGGCCCATATGCGGTTTAACTGGCCTAATTGGTAAATTGGCCGGTTCAATTGTTCTAACCAACAAGTCTCGCGGTCAAAAAAATATTAAAAAATATAAAATATAAAAAAAATCTAATAAAATATATTTAAAGAATGATTAAAAAAGTAAATCCAAATGAAGTTAAAAATTAATGAAAAAAATGGATTTTAAAGAATCAATTTGTATCTAAGAGTATTTTTGAAATTTTTCAAAAGTAGAAAAATGCCCAAAAACAATTTCCAATTTTTGCCTTAATAATGAAAAACATAAAAAAAATACATTGCAAGCAAAATCCCTTATTCTTTGAGATTTTATATAATTGTTTTTAAAAAATACCCAACTTTGGTCACCAAAACCAGGCTGTTACCGATTCGAACGCCCGATTTATTCTTCAAATTTTTATAACATATTAAAATTTGGTATTTGCCCTTCAACTAAATCAGTAGACTGAATTTTTATCAGTTGGGAGAGCAATATAAAGTCGAACAATGTTTTCAAGGATGCAGTTCTATAACGCCCAGGCCATATGAAAAAGAGTAGAGCCTCAATTCGGAACCTCATCCAAAAAGCACTTCGGGCTTGAGAAATCTCCTTAATGGCTTTAAAATCAATTTTTATTATCAATTATAAAAAAATTTAGCTAAAGAAACATTAAAGATATATAAAATGGATGGTCTAGATAATGTGTTACAATCTATAAAACTAGAAATCCTATTTAATTTTTTCAAAAAATAATGGCCAATGACGAGATGATCGATTCAAAGGTTTTCGAACGTGAAAATTGCTATTTTTTTGTGAGTTTTACAGTGAACCTTTAATTTTTCCCATAAAGCAACTTTTTCCTTTTTTAAATATATGTTATATTTTTAAATTATTTTTTATTTTTAAATCCAGCCCTACCATTTCAACTAGAGTCAAACCAATTTTAACCGGATCTCATCTCATTAGCCATTCTTACAACTGGGAGAGACGTCCCCCATTTGGAGCTTGCCGAAAGTAATTTGGACACATGTACGACTGCTTATTTAGCGCATCATGCGGGTCTTGATTGAACAGTAAATTGACCGAAATGAAGACAATTAAAGTTGCATGGCCTCAGTAAATTTGGGGCTTTAAGTCTCTCTTAAATAAGGACAAACGCCACTTGTTTCTCCATATTTGCTTTCTATTACCACACTTTTTTCTTTATCAAGAAAAAAAGGGCCATTTGAAGTACAATGAAGTCAACTAATTGCATAATTTTGTTTCACATCATATTGATGAAGGTTGAAATTCATTTATCTACACCAAACATTAGTGACAAGAAGTTGCGTTCCTAAGTAGTTTTTTTATTTTATTGTTTGAAACTTGACATTTTTGGTAGAAGATATGGGACATGGTGATACGGATAGGCATCTCTATCTTTGTCTCTCGCTCTCTCAAATGGCCCTTTTTCCATTTTAACAAGTGACAAGTCTCGTTAAATTAAGTAAAATATTTTTGGAAATTGTTTGGACTTTTGAGCAACTAATAAGAGTTATTATATTTAGGAAATTTTTTCAAATTACCCATGAGAGATTTGTAATTGAATACTTTGCCCATATCTTTTTGGTTTAATTTTCAAATACCCCATAAAATAAAATAATACATGGCCGTGAGTAGAAATAGTCTCAAAAGACAAATTTTTAAATAGCTTATCTCTTTGAATATTTTGATAAATTTTCCTTATATTTATGCTAAGAGTAATGATCCTATGAGACCCTCTCAGATCCATATGTGTAGGACCCCAAATGATCACCATTAAAGAAATAATAATAATTTTGATTTTTGTATTCTCTCCCCACCTCAAAAA